GCACAAGATGGTATATATTGCTTTTCTTTCTTTTGTTGTTTCTCTCCGTTTTTTCCTTCCTTCGGTTTAAGTTCGTGAGATCAATACATTGAAGGAAAACTCAACTGGGTATTTCTTTGCATTGTTGGAAATTATATAGTTATTGCCATGATGGAGATCAAGCGTACTTATGGGATATCCAAAATCAGTTGGCAAGGGACCCATGTGTGCCTTCTGATTTTGCATGGGAAGGTGTTAGATGCAAGTCTGGCAACAATACAAGAATCGTTTTATTATAAGAAGTCCTATTTATAACACAGAAATATTTTATTTAATCATATTTATAAGTCACATCACTGATTTTTTAACGTGACCATATTATTTTACCTTTCATTCATTATTAAGGCAGAATTAAAATTTAAGACAGAATTAATGTGGTTTAGTTTTACTGATAAATACGTCCGAAATAACTTATAAGTTTGTGAACTCCAACCTGTTGGTACTTGAGGTCAAGCAAACTCAAAGGACAAATATCTGAATCCTTTGCGCGTTTGAAAATTTTGGAGTACTTGTAAGTTATAATATAAGATGGGCTCCCAAATTCAAATATTATTATTAAGCATATATATAGTTTGTTATTATGAACAATATTAACCTCTTGTTCACAGGGATTTGTCCAACAATGAATTGATAGGAGAACTACCAGAATTTCTTGCAACTCTTCCTAATTTAAAATTCATGTAAGACCTTAATTGATAGGAGAATTACCAGAATGTGAAGTCATGTGTCTCAAAATTACATTTATTTTCTTTTTACTATCTTGCAGTAATGTGAATGGAAAAAAGCTCACAGGTTCAATCCCCAGGGCTTTGAAGGAAAATGCTAATTTGATGTTCAGGTTTACTTGTCTTCAATGTCAAAATCAGATTGTAGTTTAATATTCTTGTTTGAGACCAAATTGGATAAACTTCTTGTCCCGTTGTATGGCTAATGTAGAAAGCCTTGAAGTCTTCTGTGTGTGTGTGTGTAAAAGGAAGTGTTAATTCCAAAACTTTTTTATATTGGCCATTTTCCACCAATTGCTAGGAGATGCTACTTATTACTGCTAGTAAGTGTTAAAGTCTAGATCATTAACTATAATAAATCACTAACTTATTACATGCTACTTTGTTTATGAATAATATTCTTTGTCCTTGATAATATCTGTAAAATCGAACCTCATTTGCTCAACTAATGCCTCCTCTTCCCATTTTGCCAGTGTAGCCAACAATCCAGGTCTGTGTCAGTTAGATTCATGCGACGACAACCAACGCAAGTTTGTTATTATTCCTTTTATTATTACATCAATCACAGTCTTTATCGATCCTAATTGCCATTCTTTCTGTGATGATTTGGAGACTGAGAAAGAACAGACATGGTATTTATTTATTTATTTTATCTATTTGTCGATTCATTGGGAATATAACACTCTCAAGTTATTTTTGCATATGGAATTAATTACAATAGTTTTGTAGGGTGTTGACCCCACTATTAGGGCTGAAGTTTGGCCATTTCTACTTGGAGTGTAAGTATGCTTTCTTCCTAGCTTCATTCCTCATGGCTATCACTGTATCCACACTTGTATGCTTGTAATCAATCAAACATTTTTGTTATATAGTTGCCTACTTTTTGTGCTTTTCTCCATATTATGTATTTGAGAGGACATTGATTACTCTTTCGCTAGATTTGGATCATTAGAGTGGTTGATTCTCTATTTCATATTCTTTTGTAAATGAATTAATTGCTTAGACAAACTTCTATATGGTTGCTGATTATTCATTCATTTAAACAGCTATGACTTGGACAGCACCAAAGAAAAAAGAGATGTTATAATGAGTCAAAATAGGTAGGCAAACAAATTTCATCTCTAAATGTGTTATATAATTCTTTCTTGCTTGGTTGTGTGAGCTTCTCCACTCTTGCAACTCGTTTTGTTTCTTCTTGCTCCTTGCTTTGCTTTAATTTTGTGAGGTATTAATTCCAAACCTTTAAACACAGAAACAAATATGAGAAAATCCGCAGACAATGCCGGAACTTTCTAAAGCAGAAGAATAGGAGCTTCAATTTACATGAAATTGACGGAGTTAGAAGTGAGGGAGATGGTGGAATTTTCATGCATGACTCTGGTTGTCTTAGTTCTGAAGATGTTGCTACTGCCAGGAAATCCCTTTCTAGTGAGGAGATGAGGCCTAATGTTGAGTACTCAGATGATCCATCCGGCGCATTGGTTGATAGAGATGGTTTCTAATGTCAACAATGTTGATACTTGTACACTAGATGCTAATTCTTCTGATTCAGATTCACCAGAAGGTCCTCAAATAATCCAAATTTCCCCTCTGGGGATTATCAGGAGGAGAATGATCCCAAGACAGTTTCCGAGGGGCATTCTTCATCCCAGACTGAAGTCTCATCAAAACTTAAGATTAAGGACGACTTTGCAACATGGCAGCGTATCCTTAGACTTGATGCGGTGCGTGCCAATCAGAATGGATCCCTTACTCCCACTCTCAGGCTGTGGTAACAGAGAGTAGGGCACAACGATCTGCTGAGGTGGATGGCTTGAAGGATTATGGTCACCTAGAGCCCTGTAGAGTATTCCATGCTGCCCGACTAGTTGCTATCCTTGAGGCCTATGCACTGTATGACCTTGAGATTGGCTATTGTCAATGAATGAGTGATCCGTTGTCTCCTCTAATAACTGTTATATCTGAGGATCACATGGCTTTCTGGTGTTTTGTTGGATTCATGAAAAAGGCACAGCAGAATTTTAGACTTGATGAGGTAGGTATCAGGAGGCAACTTAATATTTTTGCTAAAATTATCAAGTTTAAGGACTCCCTCCTATATAAGCACTTGGAGAAGCTCCAGGCTGAGGATTTTTTTTTTTTATAGGATGGTGGTGGTATTATTCAGAAGGGAATTGACGTTTGAACAAACTCTTTGCCTATGGGAGGCGATGTGGGCAGACCAAGCAGCAGTTAGGGCAGGTATTGGGAAGTCTGCATGGAATAGAATAAGGCAGTCTGCTCCACCAACGGAGGATTTATTGCTTTATGCCATAGCAGCTTCAGTGTTGCAGACAAGGAAACTGATTACTGAGAAATATTGCAGCATGGATGAGATCATGAGGGAATGTAATGGCATGGCAGGACGCCTGGATGTTTGGAAACTGCTAGATGATGCACATAACTTGGCGGTCACCCTTCATGATAAAATAGAGACAACATTCCGGTGACCACATTTAATTGATCATTTTTTAAAGATGGAGGCAGGGCAGTAAGATGCCAAAAACTTGTGAGAAAACTACAGAGTTGGTCAATTGAGAAGGGAGAATAAACGTCAAGAACACCTTTAGGGAAGGAAACAGGTGCGAGGAATTGTGTTGAGGACAAGATTTGAGGAAAACCAGCTAGAACATACCACCAATAAGCATCATGCATATTTAACAAGAAGACTTAGCTGTGGTTGAAATACCCCCGAGTCCTAGTACAGTAATTTGTTTTTTCCCCCTTGTATTACAAAAAAATGGTTTACAATATTTTTTTAAAGATCTAATTTATTTATTTATTTATTTCAATTTGCCAGATCTCATTACTAGAATTAAAAAAAAAAAAAAGCACGGCATATGATTTAACTTCGAGTGTTGTTGCTTCAACTAGCCCCCACATATATATTGAGGGCTGATATACCTTTTGGTGGGCCAACAGGCATAGGGGTTAGATGTATGTGTTAGTATTCTACTTTGATCCCTTTTTCCTTTTGTCTTTTTTTTTTTTAGCTTTGTTTTTGGACATGTATATTTGGGCTCGGTGGGTAGAAATTTTAATCATTATTCTACTATCTATAATGGCTGTGCCTAAACTTCTAATTACATTGCATATCATTTGAATCTTTCCAAATCACGGTTGGAGTAGCAAGTCTAAATGGGGGCATGATGAGAGTTAATTGCATATCCTATGCTTCTTGAAGTGATTCTGCGCTACTCTGGAAGTAAATGTCACCTCAAATGAATATTTTCTTAAAATAAAATTTTATACTAGGATAATGAAAACAATATGGAAAAGAGTATTAAAATTTGTTATTGAAAAGTTATAGTGATCAGGGTAGAATTTGATTTACTAAAACTATAATAATTAACTGTATTTCTAATGCTATTATGAAAACAAAAGAGAACATCTTTAAATCATATTGAAATATTTTTCTATGAAACATAAACTTATTAAAATAAATTTTCAATTCTCATTATTATATTAAATATGACTTAAGTGCATTATAAATGAGTTGTGAAAATGCTTATTTCATTGTTAGGACTTTGTGATGCATAGGACAAATGTAACTCTAGATTAGTGACAAATGACGCTTTAAATTTGTGACATTTGGTATTTCATAGATTTTTGGTTTGTTTTTATCATGAAAATTTTAACTCTATTTTATTTTATTCAACACAATGTGGGTTTGAATTCAATATGAATGTAATATGATCTATGCATTGTATATCAACCTATTTATTTGCGATTAAAGGTTAAACATAGAAGCACATGTAATATTGACTAGGAATTAAAATAAAATAAAATTTTGTTAAAATATTAAACTTTAGCATCTAATAATTTAAATATTATTATTATTTGTGAGCTTTGATGCACAATTTACAAGTCAATTATTAAGATTTATAAATCATGCATGTTAATTTAAGGAAGGCGCAATGTTTGATTAATGTTCCAAAGAGTTACTACAAGTTGTGCTCGGATGAAGAAGTTGATGAGATAGGAATTATAGGTTTGATGGCCAAGCTTTCCGATAATCAGAAAAAAGGAAAATTATAAATTTGTAGAATGTACATAAGGATTAGAATGTACATAATCGATACTGAAAATTCAAATACCAAACTTGAAAGGAAAACGAAGATGGAAACTTGAATAACAAACTAACCTAATAATTAGGAATATAAAACAAAAAACTAATTTTGATATGAAATTAAAAGTTTAACAAACTGCCTCCACCGCAAGTCTCTTGGTGATATTTCCACAATTGGTTGACCCAAAGGTCTTCTCTGAGATTTCGATGGAACAAGTCTGCTTACCCACACAAGCCTGCATAATGTCAAGCAAGTTAAGATAAATTAGTTATTTGATCAATTAATGTATGAAAGAATGTGTATGTAAAATATAAAATATTTAACCCAAGCAAGGAATGTGTTTTCAAATTAAGAGATTAATTGCCTTCTCTATGATTGAAGAAGCATCATTGGTGCTTTCACATGTGCCTTTGATAAAGGAACCACATGTGCCTTGAGGATCTCCAAAACTGGCAAATTTAATAGCAGAAATTGGACGACTCTGGCAAGATAGTTCCAATGTGTGGTTCTCATAGGCATTCCCACAAGCAGTTCCCACACTAATTGTTCGGAAATTCACATATGATGGATTTCCTCCCATCTCCTCCAACAAAACTAATGTGTTCTCACCATCTTTAAGGAATGATCGAGGAACATGATACCTGAAAACACATATTTAATATATTGTTCAGATCAAATTTGTATGGTTTAGGAATCAAAACCCCTTCACTTTTGGAAAAAAAGAATCAAACTAACCATTTTTGTGTAGGCTTTGCACAGTTGTAAATGCATTTTGTGGAAGAGTATTCACCACGATAATCACAAGGATCATTACTGCAACCATCTTCTGCAGCCAAGTAGGCTGGCCAATAACGACCGATATTATGACCATTAACCCAAGCAAACCCTTTTCCAAGCCCTTCTAAATCAACCACCACAGGGTCTTTTCCAAGAGGAGCTTTAAAAGTGGTCTACCAAATATTTAATTTAAAAAATAAATGAGTCAGTTTGTATATTTCAATAATTGACTAACAAAATAATGTCATAATTTTTAAATTGCCAAGTACCTTGTACCAAGTGAAGCTTCTGTTTATGGGTAATTGGTCTGATGCCCATTTGGTGTTAGAACTAGACTCTTCGCTAAAGAACTTTTTATCCCAACCATCCAATCCAATTCTGTAGTGCCACTTGTGAGAAGATAAGTTCTTGATAATTGTCTCATCACCTTTTTTACCAACCACCTCAATTGGTCCAACAAGACCAGTGTGCCATGTGTCAAAGAACGATCCATAGTTCTGTTCAAAAAAAGACAGGTTATAATTTTAATTTGTTCAGTATATACAAATCTACATTAATTCATATGATGATATACCTGTAATCCAGTGGTGACACTAAGCAAACTAATCACATTCTTTCCTTTATTCAACTTGATCTTAAATTCAACTTCATCATCATAAAGAACACCATATTTAGCCCAATGGTTTCCTGCATATCCATCAAATTAACACAGGATGATGTTAACTAAACTAATCATAGTTTATGTATGAGCGAATGGAGTAATACAAAGCAACATTAGTTTTACCGAATATGTTCTCCATTGAGATATGCATAAATTACTTGGCCACTTGCGTTGATTCTAAGAGACATATCATGGCTCCAAATAGGGTCATGCTTATCAAGATGAAGACTATCAAAACAGAAAGAAAATTAAAGATGGTTAGGCCCTCGGAATGAGAATATCAATGCTTAATTAAAACAATGAAAAACAAGAGAAAGATTAGTGAATTGAGAATGATTTTACCTGGTGATGTACCAAAGGTAGTCACTGACATCACTAGTGACTTCCTTTTGATCAATGAGTTTGTTTGCAGAAGAATGAGATTTGCCTTTGAGAGCATCATGAATATTCTCAGGCCTCCACACCCACTTCAATGATTCTGGCTGCTTCTCAGCTTCGTTTGGCCAATGTTCATTCACAGAAATTTGAACATTAATCTAATTAATCGCAAAGAACAACATATGTTAGACTCTTTTTAATACAGAATTAGCTAGGGCTATACATAAAATTTATAGAAAAAGAATAGAATTCAGATGTTGTACAAAAATTAAAAAAAAAAAACCCACCTTTGCTGTGTTATACTCTTCAGTTTGACCATCAGGAAGAATGCTAACAGACCAAGCTGGAACTACATATTGCTTTCCATTGAATGTGACTGTTGCATCAGAAGTAGTGTTGCTGTTGCTCAAGAACACACTTGATGATCCATTTGTCGCATACACAGTGGCCTATAACATTTTCAACATTATTAACCACCTCGAATTCCATGAACGTGAGTGTGTGTGTGTGTGTGTAAAATCAGTGACAATGGATAATTCTTCTTTCATTTATAGTTAGTTACCTTGACAGAATTACCAAGATCAGTTTCGTTGACATTGCCATAGACAAGGTTTTTCTCAATTGATTTCAAAACTTCATGAAGTTTCTTAAGATGACCCCATTTTGGTTGAGCAATATTTCCTGCAAATAATTGAATGACATTATATCACATTTAAAGTTATGTTGAGCAAATATATACATAAAGAAGAAATCAAATTGATGAAATTTTGATTGTATACCAAATTCATCGAGAGGAGCATCATAGTCATATGAGGTTGTAATATATGGACCACCAGCAGTTCTACCAAAGTTGGTTCCCCCATGATACTGTAGCCATAAAAAGATATTTCATCAATCAGTTATCAATTTTATTTTGATGCGTTTAAATATATATTTAATATGATTTACCATATAATAGTTTTGTAAGGTTCCTCCAGTTTGATAGAATCTGGCTACACCATAGGCAACATCTTCAGCTGTTCTATGAGGATCTTGCCCACCCCAACTTTTGAACCTTTAATAATCATAAAAATAATAATTATGCAAAATGATTTAATTAATGATTAATAAACAAAAATAAAACCTAAAATAAAGTGATTTGGGACTTACCATCCTACCCAATTTTCAGTCCAGATCTTAGGACTATTGGGATTATTAGGTGTGAACTTGTCACAATAATAACCGTTACATGTATTTATCTGGTAAATTGAATCAATCAAAAGTATTATAATTAGAAAATGATAAATAATTTTAAATTTTGAAAGCGACATTTAATTAACTAATTTTACCATGGGTTGAGGAGCATCACTTTGTTGGCACATAATCCATGGGACTCCAATATTATAAGACTCCGCCATTGAAGCACACCAATCTATGTACACCTTTCCAGCATCTCCATAAGGATTCATAACATTCCCATACTCATTCTCGATCTATTAATTAGAGAGAAAAAAAAATAATTAATAAATTAATTTGGTCCAATGATAATTTTGTAATTTTTTTTTTAAAAGATCAATTCATGAACTATTATATAAATACCTGGGCAATAATTATGGGGCCGCCTTGAGAAGCAAGAAGTTTCTCTTCAGTGATCTTATTTATGATCAACGTAGTGAAATTTTGCATCTCATTCTGTAAAACCAAATAAAAAAAGCATAAACAACATATACTATATAAGGTATAGAAAAATATTTATTGAAATAATCAACCAACCATGAACACATTATTTGCTGTCCTCATCTCAATGCCAGGCAAATTATGCAACCACACAGGGAAACCCCTAAGAAAATAAAACAATGAAGAATTAAGAATAATTCTATACATCAAAACTACAAATTATAAAAAAAAAAAAAGATTACTACTTGTATAATTAAACATACCCATAGTTCCATTCAGCACAAACATAAGGTCCAATCCGAAGAATAGCATAAAGGCCAGCCTCATGAACGGTCTTTAGAAATCTGACAAGATCATTACTCCCACAAAAATCATATTGACGACGAACTGGTTCATGAGCATTCCAAAACACGTAAGTCTCTACTGTGTTCAGCCCTCCTTCTTTTGCTTTTTGGATCAAATCCGGCCACATCTACATAATCAGCAAACTCATCATTATAAGCAATAATCATACTTGGACAAGTATACGCATTAAATCAGAAAAATAAAAGAAACAGATTATCAGTTATGTTTCTTTGAACTTTGCGTTTTGAAACGTTTCAAAAACAAAACCGTACGTTCAGAATATAGTTCAGAACAGGCCTAACAATAAGAAACAATAAAGAAGCTGCAAAAATGGGTAGAATTATGAATATGGAAGAAGGATAGATAATTACTTGTGGTGTGCTTCTGGGATAATGAATTGAACCGGAAATGAGAATTCGACGTTGGCCATCGATGATGATGGCTCTTCCATCGTGAGAGACATTAACGGCAATAGAGACCAGAAAGAAACTCAGCAGACAAAGACAAAACAAAATTTTCTGAGAAGCCATATTGGAATTGAGAGTGAGAGAAAGAAGGGAATGTGGTAGAGTATATATGGAATTTAAAGGAGGCTCAAGACGACTTTATATAGAAAAAAAAGAAACGTCAGATTATCGTGGATGTTGGATGTATATCTTCAAAATTTGTTTTTTCAGAAGATAAAAATAGATAGATTCTAGTTTATCATTACCTTGACCTTATAATATTTTCATTAAGCTGGATTATGATATGATGTTAACAATTTTTTTGCCAAAATTTAATTAACAGAATCATTAGACAATCTTGATTAATAAAAATCTTTTGTTTTAAAATTATAAAAAATAATTTTTTATTATATCTGATAGGCGTCTTTAATTTTTATTTTTTTAAAAAATATTGAGCAATTGAAAAATATTAAATATTTAGATGGTGTATCTTATATATGATTTGCGTATGTTTGAGGATAACGTATGTTCGCCAAAAAAGGTTGTGATAACTGGGGATCAGAAAAATTTATTTCTAGTATATTTTAGGGACAATAATGGAAAAAATCCATACCAAACTTGTCATTTTAAAGTAAAACATAATTACATTAAAAAAATTATTAATTAAATTATTACTAGCTAACTAGCTGAGATAAAATAAATAATAACAACAACAATAACGGTGGAAGGGCTTAGCTAGTACTGGTACTAAATATAATACCTCATTAGTGGTATGCAAATAAGATCTTATATTTAGAACCGAAGATAATATACTAGAAGTACAAATGAAGACTTTTTTCTTTGGAGAAATTGCAATCAGGTCCCAAAGAAGAGATTTAATTATCCTAAAGTCCATTGACAACTAAGGAGCATACAATGACAAGTTTCAATATAAGAAATGACAACTAATTTATACTACTTACTTATCATTGGAACTTTTTAGTAGCTAAATTCTTTTCTTTAGACCTCATGGTAATTCTCTCTGTTTTTTTTTTGGGGAAAATTAGGGAGAAGGACCTAAAAAAATTAGTATTTATTAAGAGGGATCTTAAAAATTATAATTAATTTGAAAGACCAAAAATTAAAATAAAATTTTACAATTACCAAATTATCCCTTATCAAATCCCTACATTATCTCCAACACCCTCCTATCTCAATTTGACAGTTAATTATCAATTGAACTTGATTTCTCTTTATCTCTGCGTATCTTTTTCTTATGCATCCAAAGTTTCTATTAATAGCAATTGTCTTCTTGTAAATCCAGAACAAAGAAGACAAATTAAAAGAAATCGACCAGCAAACTATTAATTCAACGATACATATATTCTGAACATTATTTTCTCTCCTTTAGTTTGTACTGAATGTTATCTTATTTTCTCATGGCCTCTATATAAAGACTTTTTGGATGAATATTAAAGTATATATTTGTACCTTCATTCAATCCCAATTATACATACATATGAATACAATCACGCTACCTATACAAAGCTTCTTAGCTGAATATAAATATAGTTCTTTCTGTTAACCAAAATATGAAAATCAAGTAAATACTGCCTGCCGTAAATATAGTTCTTTCTGTTAATCAAAATATGAAAATTAGGTAAATACTGCCGCTTCGTAACCTAAGCTTCACTAATAATTTTTCCAACCACATCAAAATGAGGGGTGAAATCGCAGCCATGCAAGCTGGAAATTTTTCCAGCCATATCGGAATGAAAGGCTAGTAGATGCAGATATGAATGACTGAAAAATAAGACTCTATATTTTTGTTAATTGCTGTATTTAGCTTTTAATTTTAATGGGGGGCAATTTGGTAATTGTAAATTTATATTTCAGTTGATAACTAATAGTCATATATTGAGATGGGTGTTGGAGATAATGTAGGGATTTGGCCAAGGATAATTTTGTAATTGTAAATTCATATTTTAATTTTTGGTCCTTCAAATTAATTACAATTTTTAAGATCCCTCTTAACAAAAACTAATTTTTTTAGGTCCTTCTCCTCAATTTTCCATTTTTTTTAGAAGTTATGAATTCCTTTCCTGTAGGGGGGGGGGGACAGAAAACTAAAAAAAATTTAGGAAAAAGAAGCTCTCCACTTATTTTACTTTCCTCCGCTTCCTTACCTTCATTGTTAGATCAACTTTAAATAATTGAGATTTAATATCTTATAAAAGTATTATTATAACATCAATAACAATATATGTGTGTGCATAGATATAAATTTACTGCGCTTGGTTCTCAGACTTTCATGAGACGAAGACGAAGACCACCTCGCCTTTTCTCCCTACAAATCCTTGCATGCCATCACTATAATATAAAAATGCCGTTAGAAAATTTTTAAATCATTTAAAATGAGACTTTCTGTGAAACATAAATTATTATAATAATTCTTGCTTTCACCTTTAAATCATGATAATGGTCTTCTAAACTATGGGTCGTTTTTTATACATGGTACAACAGTTTTTTTTGAACCGGTTGAGGTGGATGGTAAAAAGGTGATGATGAGACAGTCAATGAGGATTTGTCTTCTCAGAAGTGGCATGCACTACAAAATTGGACTGGATGGTTGGAATAAAAAGTTCTTTAGTGAAAAATCTAGTTCTAACATCAAATGGGCATCTAACCAATTACTCCCAAATAAAAGCTTCACTTGGTACAAGGTATACTTGGCAATTGGCAAATTATATTATCATTTGTTAGTCCAATAATTAAAATGTAGATAATTGATTTATTCACGTTTGAAATTAAATGTATTTTAGACCACATTCAAAGCTCCTATTTGAAAAGACCCTGTGGCAGTTGATTTGGAAGGACTAGGTAAATTATTTGCTCGTGTTAATGGTCATAATATAGGCGGTTATGGGTCTGCCCACTTGGCTGCAGAAGATGATTGCAGTATTGATCACTGTAATTATCATGGTAAATATTCGTTCACAAAATGTATTTACAACTATGGAAATTCTATGCAAAAATGGTTGGTCTGATTTTTGTTCTTTTCAAAATTAAGCGAAGGATCTGGATTCTTAACATTCAAATTTGATCTGAAAGACATATTAAATATGTTTTTTCAGGTATCATGTTCCACGATCATTCCTTAAAGATGGTGAAAACACATTGGTTTTGTTGGAGGAGATGGAAGAAAATCCATCCTATGTGAATTTCGGAACAGTTAGTGCGAGAGCTGCTTGTGGGAATACTTATAAGAACCTCACATTGGAACTACCTTGCCAGAGCAATTCAATTTCTGCCATTAGATTTGCCAATTTTCGAGATCCTCAAGGCATATATGAAAGCACCAACGATACTGCAACTATAGACAAGGTAATTAATCTCTTAATTTAAAACAGTATATTATTGCTTGGGTTAAATATTTTATATTTTACGTATACATTCATACATTAATTGATCAAATAACAAATTTATCTTAACTTATTTGACATTATGCAGGCTTGTGTGGGTACGTAAGTAGACTTGACGTCAAATAAATTTTGATGTTTCCTTTTTCTCTCCAACGTTATTATTTGATCATTCATACTTTTTGAGATATAATTTTTTGTTATCATAATATTTCTCGAAAGAAAGCAGCGGAGTTATCTTATTCATATGATATTTAACAATTTTCTCAAATTACGATTCCATTTCCACTTATTGCTATTGTTCATCCATATTGATGAATATTAATTACTGACCGGGTTGAATGATTATTCAAGAATGAGTAAAATATATAAAGGAAGATATAATTAATTTTGAAATGCAAACAAATATTTGAACATCAAAATTAATTCAAAAGAATAAATTTATATACCTGAGTTGGCCATCATCCTCCATTGAAATATTATTGGTTGAGTTTAATGTAAATTTAAGAATGAGTGAAATGTAAGCATTAATTTGTGGTTTTGAGCACAAGGGCAAAAAAACAAAAGTCTTAAGTAAGCAAATTAATCATGATTAAATCGCATGCAAATTCTAAAAATAAGAGATCTATTTATAAATAAGCCCCATAAATTTGTGAAAATATTCTTTCAAATCCCATGAGATTTTTTTTTATAATTTAATTCCCTTGTGAAATACGATGTATATATTTTTTGGCTCACTTCTCTTTGCCTGATTTGACCAACGACCGTTGACCGGCCATCGGTCAGTATTGACAAGTCAAAGATAATTTTTTAAAAAAATATTTTAATTTATATTGAACATATCCGATAGCCTCTGTTTTGTTTTTATTTTTGGGTAGTGATGATAGTCTCCCCTTAATTTTCTTGCTATACTGTTATAGATTATCGCAGAGCCGTGTATCTAACTAGAGATATTAAAACAGAAATTAAAAGGTTGCCGGCATTTCCAAAAAGAAAATCAAACAAATAGTCCATGAAGTCTCCAAGTTTGACCCCAAAAATAAAAATAACTTATAATTTTATACTTTTAGTATTAAATTCTCTTTTAATATTATAAATAACTATATTTTCAAGCTTATAGGTACTAAAGTTTAGCACTACAGTATAAATCTAAATGTTTATAATTATTTATATATATTTTTTTCCAACTACTTAAAAACAAGATATGCATAAAATATTTTGTGAATGAACTTTCTACCTTTTTCATCAGGAAGGACTTTTTGGGTCAAGAAAAATTGGTAGGGGATAATAATGACAATGAAGTCCGGCAATTTTTAAATTGTTTTACAATAAATTAAATTTTGATAATACGCAACGAATGACTTGAAAATTATCCTTATCTTACCTATGCATTGAAGGGTATGTTTGACTAGCTAGTTAATTACTAGCTACTTCTACTCCTAAATATAAGATTTAGTTTGTAGTGTAATATATTTAAAATCGGAGGTAGTATAACTTAAGAATTGGGTCAAATTACAAGATTATACACATATGGCCTTATCATTTAACAAAGACTTATTAAATGGGTTAACATGTAGTACTCAATATTTCAAAACAGACCTTCAATAAAAAATACTTGTACTTAATTAAAAAAATTTGGAGCTCTATTCCCTAATGTGCTCTCATGATTCTGGCCCTTTGGTATTCTGCCGCTTTGGTATTTGTATTAAACGACTCGACCTAAATTTGATAGTCCTATCAATGCCATCAATATGGATCCATATCTATCAACAAACCAATTCACAAAATATAAAATTTGTAATAAATCTACCATCCTATAACTTTTATATGATATATATTGATTGATGTTGATACTTCCACTATTATCCAAATTACATTTTTTTAATATACAAAGTAATTCTTAGTCATACTCAAACCATGCGTGCCGGACGGCCTTTTGTGTGTGTGTGTGTGTGTGTGTGTGTGTGTAATGCTAACAAACTTACACGCACCATTAATTTTCTGCCTACTTAAAGAAGTGCCAATCACTTAGGCTTGCCACAGATCATTTCTCTTTTCCTCGTCCTCTAAACTTGAAGACATGAAGAAATCGATTCTTGCATTGCTTGTGTTGGTTTCCTTTATCATTGTGGCGGATGCTGCTAATCGTACAGGTAAGCACTTTGCCAGCCTCTCTTAACTGTATGGGTCATATGATGTTTTGTTTAGTGAACATCGATCTTTTGAGAATTTATTTTCTCTAGGAAAATTTTTTCCTTTGCAAATTTTTTATTATTGCCAATTTTTAACTAGTTTTTATCTATTTTCTTTATTTTTTTGTATAGTTTTTATCATGAATTCTCATGCTCCATATATAGTTGGTTTTCAAATAAAACGCTTGAAAACAAATTCAAAAAATGATTGGGGACATCTTTGTTCTATCCTAGTCATGTCTTGTCCCAAATGGGGCAAAAAATAGGATAGAAAGGCCACTCTATCCCAATTATTGAGATTGATCATGTCTTATCATGTGAACACCCCTATTACCTAATATAAGTAATGACAAATGAGGTTTTTCTTTTTTAAATTAATGGGTGGTGCTGTTATTAGAGAAATTAAGTCTTCCACATCCCACACCTATAGGAAAGCTCTTGTGCTATTAGTATACAAAGCCATTAACAACAAAAATGAGGTTAATTAGTCACACATATAAAGAAATGTTTGTATCTTAAAAAGATATATCTTTAGTAATTTGGACCAAACAAATAGATGTAATGATATCCTCATGTCAGTGTCGAGATTTAAACTTACATCCTTCTGGGATATTATTCACACCAATACCATCAAAACGATTTTTTAATTATATTAACTGTTGGATCAGCATCAAACGTTGTTGGACCTAATTTGGTAGTAGCTCTGCATTCGCAGAAATTTCTTGTGCTTTAAGTAGTCATAATTTCTTTCACTAACGTGAGTTGATAATCTAAACAATCGTTGCTTATATTTATAATATTCTCAATAAAACCATAAGATTTCTGTAAATTTGTTTATATATGGATCAAACGGCCGTTTACGCCTATTGTGGAAAACCTAAAATAAGGAATATACATAATTGTGCAGGCTTCATAAGTATAGATTGTGGAGCAAAGAGAGATTATGTTGATGAATTAACAGGGATTTGGTACCAAACAGATGAAGGCTTCATAGAAAGTGGATCCAATCATGAAATACCACCCATCTTTAACATCAGCAACGATCTTGCATACATGAGGGGTCAGCTAAAAACATTCAGAAGTTTTCCAGAGGGACAAAGGAACTGTTATACTTTGAGACCAATAAAACAAAAGCAGAAGTATCTGATCAGAGCTTCATTTGCTTGTCAGAACTATGACTCAAAAAACGAGTTCCCAAAGTTTGATCTCTACTTGGGGGTCAACTATTGGGCGACAATTGAATTGAATGAAAATAAAACTTTTGGATATAATGAAATAATAATCCAAGAGGTTACCAATGGCATGGTTCAAGTGTGTCTGGTGGACACGGGAGAAGGCAAACCTTTTATGAACACATTGGAACTACGGCCATTGAGAAATTCTCTCTATTCCTCTCCATTTCCCTTATCTCTTTACACAAGAAGAGATTGTGGCCCTTCTTCCAGTATCAACTATGTCAGGTACTCTTTCTATCCCGCTCAGACTTTTACAACGTTACAACAAAAAATTAGTATGAGGTCATATAAAAGAAATGTGAACAATCAAAAGTCCCATCACTAAATAGGTAAACTTATTTGCACTTAACTTCCTTGATATTTTAGAATTATTTATTCATTTGGTCGGACTTTTTGGTTTTTCTGGAGGAGCATAATTTTTCTTTTTCACACTTGTTTATAAGAAACTTTTAATTATATTCTATTTCTCCAATTTGCTTGCAGAAATTTCAGATACAATCATCCTTATAAATCATAGCTCGCAAAACATTCTGCCATATCCTGCAGCTCAGAATACAGAATATAATTATATGATGCTCTGTCCTTAACAACATATATCCAGAATACTAAAGTATAATCAAATTGTATAATTAATTTAAATTCAATTAAATATAAACTGGTCCTGCATAGTGTTTTTAAATATTTTTAAATGTTATGAAAATAGAATTGCCTATATATCTCATGAAAAAAAATTAGAGGTAGAGTTGTGAAAAGATTTAAACAACAAGTCACATTTTTAATACCTTGGGGGTAACATGACTTATTGCAAATTTTGTACTTTATATTGATATTAATTGATTGGGCGATTTATGCCTAGTCTGACGTAAATAGACACATTTTCATGTGTTTGGCGTGCTATTCATAAGATTAGTTCCCCTAGTTATCATAACATGGGGAAAAAATGAAATTTGTTGTAAAATTATGTACTACCAAAGGAATCAATTGATTAATTTAGAGAGATTAACAAAGTTACTAAATTAGTTAATTATCACATACGTTACATGATCTCTCTAAAATGTTTATGTGAATTATTAGATTATATATTAATTTATAAATGAAACAAATTAATTTGGAGATAAACGATAAATAAAATAGTTTAAAGTAATTTAGTAACTTTTTTAATTTCTCTAAATTAGTCAACTACGTTCTATATTAAAAATGGGAGGTAGTACATTTTTTGCCAGAAGTTGTAAACTTTTACATACATACATATATTCATCATATGTTGATTGACTTGAACGTCAATAATTTCTTGAGATTATTAATACTTTGCTTCTTTCTTTTTTTTTCGGGTGATGCTTTCCTTAATTGTTTCGGAAATTAAAATGCAGGTCCAAGGACGATGTTTATGACCGTTTGTGGCATACATATATAAAGAATAGTCAGTGGAATGTCTTAGAAACAGATGGACAAGTAAAAGTCGAAAATTCCAATTATGAGCTTCCATCAGAAATATTAGTCACAGCATGTCAAGCCCCGAATAATTCCAATCTCTTATCTGAGAGTTGGAGTCTTGATGTAGCAGAACAATTTTATCTGTTTCTTCACTTTGCTGAAATTCAAAAGCTTCCTTCTGGCCAAAAGAGGATTATCAATGTCACTTTTAATTATGAAAATTCCCTCTACGAAGAACTTACCCTTGAATATTTGAAACCCGTCACCCTAAATTCCAACATCACTACAAATAACGTTAGATTCAGAATTAGGGCAACAGATGATTCTTATGCCCCTCCTATCCTCAATGCCTTTGAGATTTTTAAAGTCTTCCCACAACCAAATTCCCCAACGGACCCACAAGATGGTATTGCTTTTTCTTTTTCTTCATTTTTTCTTCCTTTGGTTCAATTTTTATTTTGCTAAAGATGAATATATATTGAAGAAAGCTCAACTAGGTTCTCCTTCGCATAGTTAATGCCATGGTGGAGATCAGGCGTACTTATGGGGTATCCAAAATCAGTTGGCAAGGGGACCCATGTGTGCCTTCTAATTTTGCATGGGAAGGTGTTAGATGCAACTATGGCAACAAAACAAGAGTCGTTTCATTGTAAGTACCATACTTCTGAATTATTTATGATGTGTCATATATGAAGCATTATTTGAGAAAAACATTTTGGCGTACAAGTAGTTGAATAGAGCTCTAAAACAGCACTAACACGGCTTGCAAGCAAAGAACTCTCAGAAGAGTTAATACAACTCTAAAGTTCATAAATAGAGCAAGAGGGCTTCAATGCAATATAATCCCACAAAACAAACTTTTCCTTAATTTTTACCATCAAAAGAAGGTGATTCAACAAAATAACGTAGTGTGACAATTTTTTATCCATAACATGTCCAAATCTTGCCTTGATTTGTTCATATATATATATATATATATCAGCTATTTGTTTCAACCCATTTATATATATGCTACATTTTCCTTTTATTTATTTCTCTTTTTTAGTTGTTTACAATATGTCTTATGAATTCCAAAATGTAGGCACTTGGGGTCAAGCAAACTCAAAGGACAAATATCTGAATCCTTCGCGCGTTTGAAAAATTTGGAGTGCTTGTAAGTTGTATGTAATATAAGATAGGCTCCCAACAAATACTTATTATATTGAGCCTACAACCTCTTGTTCATAGGGACTTGTCCAACAATGAACTGATAGGAGAACTACCAGAATTTCTCGCAACTCTTCCTTATTTAAAATTCATGTAAGACCTTAATTTATACACACACACTGCAACTTTAATGCTTAGATTGTGAAGTCGTGCACCTCAAAATTACATTTATTTTCTTTTTCATCATCTATCTTGCAGTGATGTGACGGGAAACAAACTCACGGGTTCAATTCCCAAGGCTTTTAGTGAAAATGCCAATTTAAGGCTCAGGTAGATATCCAATTCAGATTCTAGTTTATTCTTGTTTGAGGTCAAATTGGATAAACTTTGTGTCTTTTTGTCATTCATTCTTTGATAATTTGGAGAGAGGAAGAAGGAGGAGAACAATAGAGTTTTTTTTTAATCCTTTGCTTATGAATAATATGCCTTGGCGCAACAATATATGTAAAAATCATCATATTTAAAACAGGACCAGCTGGGTTGAACCGGGAATCGTGAACCAATCACCTGGCTTGTCCCGTCAACCCTTGTGAGCTCAAGACATTTGAACCGGGTGACTCGGAATAACCCGAGAACAGCCCAGCTAACCTACCCTATTTGGTGGGTTAACCCATTAGCCTCTTTTTTCTTTTTTTTTTTTTAAAGCTATTTTGATGCATTTTTTTAAACTGTCGATAGTTTTTAGTTTAGTTATTAAATGAGGATAGGTACGAATACTTTGTTGTCATATATCTATTTTGATTAATTTTTTCTATAATAAATATTTAGCAATTTTAGGAGGATGATACTATGATGCCAGTTTGTCAAAAGAATTGTAAAAAAAAATTATAAAGAAATTTTAAGTATATGATTCTTTTAATTTGTTTGTAATTCAAGGTAATGAATTGATGTTTAATTGTAAGAAGATATGATAAAAATTAAATTATTTTTAATTTTTTTATTTCTTACCGGTTTGACCTCTGAGTTAACGGTTTGCTTACAAACCCTTAATTCATTATCTCAACCGGCTCAATGATTGATACGAATACTTTGTTGTCATATATATTTTGATTAATTTTTTTTCTATAATAAATATTTAGCAATTTTTGGAGGACGATACTATGATGCCAGTTTGTCAAAAGAATTGTAAAAAAAAATTATAAAGAAATTTTAAGTATATGATTCTTTTAATTTGTTTGTAATTCAAGGTAATGAATTGATGTTTAATCGTAAGAAGATATGATAAAATTAAATTATTTTTTAATTTTTTATTTCTTACCGGTTTGACCTCTGAGTTAACGGTTTGCTTACTAACCCTTAATTCATTATCTCAACTGGCTCAATGATTGATACGAATACTTTGTTGTCATATATATATTTTGATTAATTTTTTCTATAATAAATATTTAGCAATTTTTGGAGGATGATACTATGATGCCAGTTTGTCAAAAGAATTGTAAAAAAAGAAAATTATAAAGAAATTTTAAGTATATGATTCTTTTAATTTGTTTGTAATTCAAGGTAATGAATTGATGTTTAATCATAAGAAGATATGATAAAAATTAAATTATTTTTTAATTTTTTTATTTCTCACTGGTTTGACCTCCGAGTTAACGGTTTGCTTACTAACCCTTAATTCATTATCTTGACCAGCTCAATGACTGGTCCGCAATGTACAACAATGTCATTTTCTGAAACTCATCATTTGCTTAACTCAAGGTTCCTCTTTCTATTTTGCCAGTGTAGCCAACAATGCAGGTCTCTATCAGTTGGATTCATGCAACAAAGAACGCACGTTTGTTATTCCTCTTGTTACATCAATTACAGTCTTTACCCTAATTGCCGTTCTTTCTTTGGTGGTTTGGAGACTGAGAAAGAGAAGACAAGGTATTTATTTTTATATCTATTGTCGATGTCGATTCATTGGAATATAATACAGCACTCTCAAGTTATTTTTACTTGTGTTTGAAGGCTAAAATAATTTAACATAATGATGCAGATTCGTCCACAAATAAATACTTGAAGATGGAGATTCCAAAACGAAAGAATCGAGAATTCTCTCACTCACAAGTTCTGCGGATCACCAACAATTTCAAAACTCTTATTGGAGAAGGAGGATTCGGGAAAGTTTACCTTGGGACTCTAGAAGATAATTCTCAAGTTGCAGTAAAATTACTTTCAGAATCATCAAAGCAAGGATACAAGGAGTTTCAATCAGAGGTTAGAAATGAAAAAGACGTATATCTATGATATACAAAAGCTACTTTTTAAATATATGTATGCAAAGTCATATATGATGGAGCTAATAAATAATTAACTGTTGACTTGTAGGCTCAGCTCTTGACAGTTATTCATCATAGAAACTTGGTTTCACTTGTTGGGTATTGCCATGGAAACAATATCATGGCCTTGATTTATGAATATGTGGATAATGGGGACCTCGGCCAATTATTATCAGGTTTCTCATATCTTGTGCTTATTTTCAGGTCTTAGATACAATTATTGAAAATCTCATGAAGGAAAATTATTACTCGTTTAGTTTTATATGGCTAAATATAGTCGACTGAGATCTTTGAATAGTTGTATGATTATATGCGTCTGTTATTGAAAGATACTGATGATCATATGCAATTTTTTTCTCTTGTAGAGAAAAACTCAAATATTTTGAGGTGGAAACAGAGACTTGAAGTAGCAATTGACGCAGCGAAAGGTGAGAAAAAGCTATTATATATGTTATTGACCCGTCTTGCCTTATTACTCCCTCCGGCTCTAAATACAGTAGAGGAATTACATAACTAATTTACAGTAAAAGATTTAGTTATTTGTAAAAAAAAATGTATTAGTTTTCCCAAAATAATATCATTTTTAATAATTGAAGAAGTCTTCTTAAAAATTATAAATTTACAAGACAAAATGAATGTAGATCTTGTATTTAAGAATAAAGTAAACTCCTTAATTAACTCCTATATTTAGAATAAAAGGGAGTAGTAATAAGCTCCAGTATATTTTCTTCTTATATAATAAGCTAGTGGAGTTGCAGGATTGGAATACCTTCACACTGGTTGTAATACTCCTATAATCCACCGAGACTTGAAACCATCCAACATTTTATTGAATAAATCCATGGTAGCTAAGATTGCTGATTTTGGACTGTCTAGAGTATTTACAAATGAAAAAGATACTCATCTATCAACTCAACCAGCCGGTACTCCTGGTTACATCGATCCTGAGTAAGTGTTTCTTAGCATATGTCTAAAGAAATATAAAAGAGGACTTAAGGATATCAGTTTCATTATTGATTGGATTCATTTGCAGATTTCAAAGATCAGGAAAACTAAATAAGAAAACTGATATTTATAGTTTTGGAATGATTCTTCTTCAACTAATAACGGGTCGTCCCCCAATAAAGAGAGGACCTGAGGATATCAGTTTCATTATTGATTGGATTCAACCGAAAATTGAAAGTGGGGATATTGAAGGCATTGTTGATCCAAGATTAGCTGCAGAATTCAGTCTTAACTCAACATGGAAAGCTGTTGAAGTAGCAATGTCATGCGTGTTACCACCACCAACCCAAAGGCCAACCATAAGTTACATATTGCGAGAACTACAAGAATGTCTAGCTTTGGAGATGGGAATACATGACATGATGCCAAGAAATTCATGTGATTATAGTGGCAATAGTGAGTTAATCACTGTTCTCTCTGCTAGGTAGTCATCATGATATATTTCTGCTAAACAAGACTACAAGGCTTCATGTTTTAATTTGTTTTACAAGACTATGATGAAATTCGTGCTTGCATTGTTCAAGGATCATTACATATAATGAGCGCACGAGTTTCTTTGTTGAGTTAACTTTTTTTTTCCCCATCAAATGAGACCAACGATGTTAAAATTAAGTAACTAAAAATGCACTTTATAAACTTAAGATACTAAATCAAAACTTGATGTAAATATAGAGAACCAAATATATAATTTAGCTTTCTAATATCATGATGATGTGGTGCACTTTCAGCTTTTTGATTAGTTTGGATGAATGAGATTGAACACAACTAAAGGACGCTAAGGTTATGCGTGTGAGGTTATGTTTGTTGGTGATGGTTTGAGAATGAGATTGGTGAGTGAGGTGGGTTGGCACTGTAACTTTAAATTATGTCTGGTATAGGGAGTAATGTTTAAAAGGAATGTTCACATTAACTTTATTATATCAGTCATTAATTATAAAAGACAACAATACCTTGCTATTAATTTTTGTTAAAAAGAAGAAGAAGAAGAAAGTTTGCAATTGCTTTCCCTTTGCAGTTCATCGTCATCGCATTCACTGATTGATTCAGTGCAAAACCAAAAACAAATCTATTAGCAACCTTTAATCATTAACTTATATGAGATCATATTTGACGCAAAGGAAAGGGTTTCTAATGCTGATTCAACTCGGCATATTCCGCTGCTCCTTCTTCATCTTCCTTCTTTTCTCTGCTTCAACCACTCAACTCTGTCATTTGGGTTTGGTTGTACATCTTCATCTTTTGCTTCTAGTTCGATTCCATCGCTATGTGTTCAAGGAAGACGAAGACTTGTCAATTGCCATTGGCAAGGTTCGAAGAAGGAAGATGGAGATCTGAACACAGATATGAGTCTCCGTCGTAGCATCCTCAATTTTGCCTCTTTCCACCTTCATTACCGTCGCAAGAGGATAGTCGATATGTAACTGGGGGTGGGTGAGGGGTAATCTGGTCCAAAAATGTTTAGTGCTGGAATTGATTATTTTTCAATACTAGGGGGCCGCTGGTATTGGCTAATCCCACAAAAAGTGGTATTGGGCAATCCTAGGATTGCTGAAGTCTACACATCAAACATGACAAACTGAGCAATACCAATACCAATCTCAATACCAACCCTCCTAATCCCTCATACCAAATAGGGCCTAAGTATTTTGCCATTAGGAGTACCTGATAATGGTAGTGGTGGTAGTCATAGTCATTGTAATAGCGATGGTAGTAATGGTAGTCATAGTACTAACAAACTATTAGTAGTAGTGGTAATGATGGTAATAGTAGTGGTAGTAGCCAATAACAGTAATAGCAGTAATAACAATAACAAGGACTAATAATATGTCATAGATATTTGACATAAGTTTCTGTGACGGTGATGTATGTTGAAAATTCCATTTATTTCTAGGGTACTCGGACTTATTTTCTCATAGTCAATTTCATGGTTGATCCACATCTGGTACAAGTTCACAACTTAGTTTTTCTGCATGTATTAATAATATTATTATATAAGCACAACATTAACTTATGAGTTAGTCAAACCCTGAGATCATAATCATGAAACAAAGACTTATCATCTTATCCTTGGTTCAAAAGATAAAGTAGAATAAAGACTCTTATAGTTCTGCATTTTTATTCAATGACCTGACCTGGTTTTGTCTCCGACTGACTCCTTTAATTTAGATTCAATGAGCCATCTCAGATAATATACAAGTATATATAACAATAATGTCAACATCAATCATCCTTCAATATAAAATGGAGTTTATAACAAACTTATAATAAATTATTTTTATAATATGCATTAGTATCCTCTAATCAAAAAAATCTTGTTCGAGACATTACTGGGCACTTAATGTAAACATCTGTCCTAACGTTGTAAGGAATTAATGCTTTTTACAAAACCCAACCTTTTATCGGTATAGACTTATAATAAATTATGCTCACTGTATTTTTTATATTTTATATTATTGTTGATATTATATTTTTTAAATTCTTTTCTTCACCAACCCCAATTACATCACTACTCAAAAAATATTCATAGTCAACCATCCATGCCGGCCTTCTTTTTTTTTCCTTGTATTATTTTTCATACTAAACCATTTTCTGCTTCTTAAAGAAGTGAAGTGCCAATTATCTCATTTAAGCTTCCCAATCGTTTCTCTTTTCATCATCCTCTAATAAACTTGACAACATGATGAAGAGCACAATACCGTGGATTCTGGCTCTGTATGTGTTGGTTTCCTTCATCCTTATTGGTCACTAATCAGCACAGGCTGTTGCAGAAGATGGTGGTAATTCAGATAAGCACTTGCCTTGGCCTCCTTAGCCTTTAAATTTATATCCTTTTGGCGTTTAATTGAGGGTTTGGAGAAAGTCTTTAATTTTAAATTTTAAGTTTTCTTTTATACTCACAGAAAAGTTTATTCAAAACATATATATGCTGCAAATGACTTAACCATTAGATAGCAAATTAGAATAATTAAGTGGATTGACTGGGTTATGTGGAGTTTGCAGGCCGTTTTTTTGCATTGAAAAAATTTGGTTAAACGCAATAAATATGTAAAAATGTTAATTTTAAAAAAAACCGTCTCAGAATGTGTGGATGATTAATTGATGCCTAACAATTATAATAATAAAAGGTCCTGGTTTGCAAAGAATATCATCATGTGGGATTTAGGAAGGGATAGATATATGTTGCCTTAGCCCTATAAGCGGTGAAACTGTTATAGGATTTGAAATCATGGACCTCTAAGTCCCAAGGCAGCAATTTTACCATTGCTTCGAGGGTGCTCCCCCCCCCCCTCCCAAATCAAATAATAAATGGGGGCAAAATAAATGGGGGCAAATGGTCAATGATGCTAAAAATTTCAGAGAGAAATTAATAACGTAATAGAAACAAGTCATCCCCGACAAAAATTTTCTTTTACAGGAGGGAGAGTTTATGAGGTGAATTAAGCTAGAAATATATGAAGCTTGATATATGGTTTATTGTGGAATACATATGAAACAAGGAACATATAAATGTGCAGGTTTCCTAAGCACATATTGTGGAGCAAGCAAATATTATGTGGAGGAATTGACTGGGATTTGGTTCCAAAACAGATGAACACTTCATATATAGAAAGAGGAACCAATCATGAAGTACCGCCAGCTTTCGATTCAACGATCGTCCATACATCCAAAAACAGTTAAACACATTGAGAAGTTTTCAAGAAGGAGACAGAAACTGTCACACTCTGAAACTAAAACAAGAGATCTATCCGAAACAAAAGTATTTGATCTGAGCTATATTTGCATCCAGAATTATGACTCCAAGAACCAGTTTCCAAAGTTTGATGTTTA